AAGAAAACCAGTCTAAGATGCATCTAACAGATAACACACAAACCACAACACTCGACGATGAAGATCACAATTTTATCACACATTAAACAATCAAACTGAATATTCCACTAACAAGCATACTTGTATTGCGTTTAATCAAAGTCACATCTTGCATATTTTTAATTAACATTTCTGAGTCAGAGCCTGCGTGCATCGTAAACAACTCTTCATGCCTTGCAGAGTTTATCGCCACAGATAAATTGTCACATTAAACACATCAGATACATTTGCATGAAGCGATACGTACACTTGACTCAATAAAGGTTCGATACTCCGGCGGACAAACCGGAAAGGTACGAGGTTCAAGGCTAACTGACGCTTTTTAGTTTTACTCTCGTTCGAGTGAAATTTTTATCGCGCACTCACTTTTCTTAGCAGAATTCTAGTTTGGAGTTGTCAATGATATTTTTAGGATCTTAGTTTTCAAGTATGACACTTAAATGGCATTGTTTACGGAAAGATATCGAAGGTTGATATTTCGAAAGTTATTTTGTATAAGTATATAATATTTCCTGAATGTACTAGTTTTTTTTTCGTCTAGACTTTAAATAAACCAACAGGTTAATTTAACAAACGGAAATGTGAGAGGAAATTGGAATCTGTCAAACTTTCGCGTTGAACTAACATGAACCAACACACCAGTCCAAATATTATTGTTAGTAATGTGGCTTGAACTATTTCTCAATTTCCATTACCTTATTTGAAATTGTCAATAGTACTTCCTATTGATAAAAAATGTCAAGAAGGTCACGTCTAAGAGTCTCCATCAATCATGAGAGACAGGTTCTTGGTCAAAGCACCACAACATGCCACGAGCGACTCGACCAACAATACCAAATGATCTATTGAATTAAAAACAACAATATATCATTATAAAGATTATTGATAAACTTGTCTTGCTATGAATCCCATTGTTTCTGATTCAGACATAAGAATTTGAGACGTAAGCAGAGTTTCTCATCATCGAGACATGGAAATCTTTCTGGACAGACAGAGAAATATTAATAAAAGTTTCTTTAATAAATATAGTAACGAGGGATGAAATAGACACCTAATTAGGAGACTAGAATCAACAAAATCAAGTTTAAATTACTAAGTTTATGATCTAGATGACATTGCAGAAAAAAAGTAACACAAAATGTAGTGATGAAGTAATAATATTAAAGACGACTTTCCTTAATCTTAAGAGTTTCTGTGAGTTTAATTAAAACGAGTCTCATCGAGAATGTACCGAACATCGGAAGATAATTAAAGTGTCAAATTTTAATAACTTCCTCGAGAGAAGTCCTTCCAGATATTGGATGCTACGTGAATAAAAATGTTTGGCTAGCCATGAATTTGTCATGGTTTTAAGTAAAATGTTCCTGATCATGAAGAAGCTAGAGTTCTCAGACGATTATTTTGAGAGCTGGAAATCATCAAATGACTTTTCTAGTCTTGGGTAAAAACCAACCTGTTCTTTCGGCTACAAAAGCAAGCCAGGGCCACTATACATTATCACGCTTCACTTTCAACCCCGGGTTGCTCAGTAGTGTTTCAGAATGATTGTTATAATAAAATTTAAATTATTCTTTTAACATTAGTGAGACCGCTTCAATTTGACATCTACGTCCTAAATATTGCAAAACTTGTGTTTTTAAATTCCTTTATATTCCAAAGTAGGTAAGTCTTTGATTGATTTATACTTCACCTTTATTTGCAGACAGATAATAATTTTATTCTGCTTTAAGACTAGCATTCAATAAATATTACTCAATATTGTCAACATATCAATAACACTAATCAAATATGACGATATTTATTGAAGAGTAACAATTGGAAGCATCAAACTGTAAAAATAGGTGTATCAATTCAAAGATAAGTCAACTCCTTCTCATACTCCCATTAAAACTTCTCTTATTTTCTTTCACACGATTCTAACTTTATCACAGCACCCTTACCTACACGTCTATCCATCCATCCCTTACATAATTTGTTGAATTTTTTGATATCATCCCTTTCCAAAAATACTTTACCAACTCTAAGCCCGAATCTCTTACTTAGCTTCTGTTACACTATCGCCAGTACATAAACTATCCAACATAATAAAAATGCCGTAAACAAAACAATATAAAATTATAGAAAACGAGAAGCGTGGTAGATGAATCACCGAATACGGAAAATTATGATCAACTAATCACAATGTTGTTTCCAAGGCAAAAGCTTGATCCGCATTGATCTTATATGGTGATAACCAGCTACCTGTCGCATTGCAAGGCTCCGATGCTTGATATAAGGCAATGTCATGGTCATCTAATTTATTTTTATTATCTCCTCAGCTGCTGTTTACAAGTGCATTGTAGTCTAGATCATAATTCGTGGTTTCATGGTTATACGATTTAAATCATTTTATTGTTTATTATTTCCGCGTTCATTTGGTCATGTTTTTAGATCATCAGTCAGTAATGAGATTAAATTGTTACATTACTCAACTGCAGTGGAACAGGAAATGTATGAAGGACTTTTAAGATCATTAGAAACTCCAAAATCTTGATCTCATACTTTTTTAGAATAGGATGTTGGTAAGTTTTATGTATTCAGTGTAAACTAGTCATAATTATTCTAAGCACACAACAAATTGTTGATCAATGATTCCGTGACTTGTTTAACAAGTATACACGCTCTCTTAAGCATAAGTAAACATGCTAAGCGCGAGATTACACGGAAAGGTTCACTCAACGGAGAAGACTAATTGATAGCGACGAAAACATTTCCCCTCGTTCAGAATTCTTTAAAACAAAAGTATCGATAAACTTGTAAACAAACAAGATTGATAGCAGTCAAAGACCGGACGCAAGGGTACGGGAGATAAAAAATAAAAACAATTTAATTTACGATTATTTCATTCTTTCCATCCATCAACATAATAATGATCCTCATCGCGTCACATTAAAACATTTTTTTCTTCCGTATTTACGCCTTTTAGGGTAATCAAAGTCGTAAATCTCACTTGATAGTGTGAATTTTTATATGAGTCAGTCACCCCTGGTTGGCAGGCGTGTGACCTTGAGTGTCGTACGCTTGGCCTCGACTGGCGCAGGGCGGCGCGCTCCAGCCCTTATATGGTAGATCTCGCGCCTGCGCACTTAACACAACATGGCGCTTCCACGTCACGTGGTACATTGCATCTAAATTTACGCATTAATTGACTCTGAGTAGGAAATTGTTTACGTTGTTTATGTCTCCTTGAGTTTCGAGTAAATTCCTTGCTTACTACGTGCATACGTGCGTGCATTTATAATATTAACCAAATGAGGTGTTGTAATAAAATCGGACGTTTTCCTGTAGTCGTATGTAAATGGCGTTATCTAAGGACTTTATTTTATTGAAAGGGACATTGAAGAAATAATGAAAATGTTTAAACACCGTCCTGTGTCCCTATAAGTGACATTTTATTTTCTTGTCAATGCTCCTTTATAGTCGCTTTACTAAGAACCTGCTTGTTTTTACGTACAAAGTTGAATGCAACTTTCAGTTAAGCTTATTTGAAAACGCCAACAATGTTAGCTCATGTACCTACAAAAACGAAAAAGGAATGTAAAAAACAACCATAGTTAATCATGACACTTATTTGTTAAAAGTTAGGGTTACAAACGCGATTACCTACGTGGTTCCTGATGGTAAGCAGCCAGCGCCGCACATAGACACCCACAATACCAAGTGACTTAGGCACTAGTATGCTTCAGTCCATATATAGGTTTTTACCATTTACGATTGAGTTTTATTTTTTCACAAAACCAATCTGTTCTTTTCGTTATCTATAAATATATTTTATAAATCAATGCCACTTTTCCTTGATAAGTCATAACTCATTAATGCCTTTACCTATTTGACTAATTTTGGTCTTGAATATTTCGTAGATGTCCAGAAAAGATCCACATCATCCAGACATCCACGCGGACAGAGCCGCAGGCGACCGGTAGTATTCTTTATATTAAGTATAGAGTAGTAAAAATAAATGAGTATAAATGTATAAATATTCTATTTAATATTTGAGATATTTTTTTTTTATGTAATAAGTCGGCAAACGAGCAGACGGATTACCTAATGGTAAGCAATCAACGCCGCCCATGGACACCCGCAACGGAGGAGTTACGAGTGCGTAGCTGACCTTTTAGGGATTAGGGATTTGGAGATTTAGGGATTGGGGAAGGGTCCAGGAAGGGGAAGGATTGGGCCTCCGCGGCGAAACACAACACTGTGGTTGTTTCACGCCGGTTTCTGTGAGGTGTGATTTCGACTAAATCCCACGATAACTGACGATAAGTAGACCAGAATCAACGGGTTTACTTGCCATGTGAGAAAACTAAGTTATAAATGCTTATTTTAAAGTTACAAACAGTCTTTTTAACAGTGGGTATTATAACATCTGGACCAAATAATACAAAAAGAGGAATTACTCAGTCATTTGTACATTGTAAGGCGTATAATTACGCCATTGTTTGTAGGGGCGATGACCTCGACATTCGAAGTTTAAAAACGTATTATTATTTCGTTCGTTCAAAAATGAGGTTGGTTTATTAATTCAAAATAGGTTCGAAAAAAAAGAAAATATTGTTTCGATAAAGTTTTTTTTATTAAGAAATTAAACTTTTGTATAACTTGAATTTAAAAGCGTTTAATATCGTTGTTTGAAAACGCAAAACCGCTTAAAGCTGTAAATATTTCTCAGATAGTACAAAATATCTTACGATGCCCACAGTAATGTAAATTATTCTTGCATAATATAGGTAACTAATTTGTATTCATCGCTTAATTTATTCAAGTATTGATCTTTAGACCAATCCTTTACCTAAGCGATGTTGTAAACAAAATAAAATTTATATTTAGTTGTAAATAACTATAATTATTATCAATCAAATTATCACAAAAATACTTTCAAAAGTTTCAAAAAATAAACAAAAACCCAAAAAGAATCTGCGATGGCCGGGAATCGAACCCGGATCAACTGCTTGGAAGGCAACTATGCTGACCATTACACCACCATCGCAGCTGAGAGACGCGTCGAAATACTGGTACGCTATCAATGTGATACAGCAAACTGACGTCACTTAGTTGATAATTTTAGTCCCGTTATTATGAACCAAACACGTTTATTATTTTCACACGTTTATATTTTCATAATTAAGTTAAGTTAGATGATATAATATGAGTTTATTATCATAAAGAATATTTTATCATTTTTATAGCTTATCGGACATAAAACTTCTCATATTTTTACAATATTCGAAAACTTGTTTTCAAAAAGTAATCTCATTGATTTTTTTCTTTAATACAGACGCTAGGTGGCGCTACTAGTACAGTGAAATGAATCACTGCGGCGAACTGTCACTCTGAATGACTCATTCAGGAACGATATTAGACAAAATATTCCGCACAATATTTTGAACATTAAATGAAAATTCGATTACCAAAACAATAGGTACGTAAAAAAACATTAAACCAATTTTCTAAAGATAAGCAGAGTGCATGTTAACATAAGTACCTTACACGGGCGGTACATAAATATGGGATGCGCGCGCGCATACTATTGTCGCGCAATCACTTTGTAGATCGCCGCCGGCCGGGTCGTGATCTCTTGTTTCTGGGGTGACCGTTTACTCTGGTGTAGGAAAGACTGACTGACGTTGGAACAGTGGAACATCCACCTTAAATGAGTACTCCTTCGCACTGAAATTTGCTCCTGAATCATGGCATACATATATGCTTATCAATAGCTGGGTTTGCAGACGTAAATTAATTAATGTAGTGCAACCCCGGCACGGGGTAGGAGGAGGATAACGGGGTGGTTTTTAGTCAGTAAGAGTTTGACACTTCCTCGGGCTCCTCACCCCTCCTAGGGCGGGGATAAGTCATACTAAAATGATGAAGCTGCCTTTCAAATAAAAAAAAATGGTCATCAAAATCAGACCTGAATCCACAATGAAACCTAAAAAAGTGATACAATTTGGCAAGAAAATAGTAATCCAATTCTTCCCATTTCTCCAATCTTATGGTCACCGCATAAAATCGCGCGGCACCGTTTGTCGCGATAAACCCGCGACCCGCGGTAATTGCAGCGGGCGACTCGAGCGCAGGGCGCGGCGCGGCGCGCCACGACAACGCGCGTTCCCACGACTTTGTTACCTTACATGTTATGGGTTAAGATAACGACGGAAATATAACATCATGTTACATCTGAACAGTTTAAGAGATAGTGGATTATATATAACCCTGAATCAATTATAGCTTAAACAACAACATCCAACTATGTCAAAAGTGAAAAATCTGAAGATTTTGACCAACACTCGTGCGCTGTTAATGGTGATTGGTCCAAAATCTGTCTAACCAAGATACACTTTCCTACCAGAAAGTCATTATATGACGAAAGAAATTGTTAACACTGGCCTCAGGCCTACTCTTTACCCTAGTTTAAAGCAAGAGAATGAACGGGATTGTTTTAATCGTAATGGTCTGACTCCTTTTTTCTCCAGTCAGGGCGAAAGAAAGAAAGAAAAAAACTTTATTTCACACGCTAAAACATGTGACACATAGGTACGATTCTGTACATACAGTTTATAGACCACCTACATTCTAGTGTCCCCAGTCTGTGGTGAAATCAAAGGAGTCATTTGATGATTTTCCCCGCGCAAAAAAGCTCCCTGCCCTCCAGAATAGGCAAATATCTCTCTACTTTAATTCGCTTTACTTAAAAAACTGATTAATTCAACACGCTGCAGTGGTTGTCAATCAGTAGATACCTGTAGTTTATTGGTCGTACCACACTTTCAGTAACATGATATCTCAGATCAACCTCCATAAAGTTAACGCCACTAAATTAAGCAACTATCACTATTTCGCGACAAATATATCAACTTGTTCTTAAAATGCCTCAGTCGAGCACCGAATGCCAACACCCACACGTTGTTTAGTAAACAATTTTGCGTAATTTTCGCCTGTCCAAGTATCAGATCTAGTTTGTGAAGGGAGTCAGGGCTGGTACTAATTAGAAGTACGTTATTTCCATTATCGATATTTATAATAAAAACTGAATAACTAAGGGGAAAGTTTCAAGTTAAAATGTTTTTTTGAATACTATTGTTAGATACAATTTTCTTAGCAAATAGCTATAAGGGAATAACACTTTTTATACAAATTTTATTGTAGGAGAACCTTAATTAGGTAAATATACAATGTTTACTTGTTTACCTATTGTTTACGTTGAATTAAAATAAAGCCAAATAAAATCTATGCATGTTAAATAACACTGGTTTCCATGAACCTAGAAATCTAGATGTTAGAAATATAAATGAACATTCAAACATTTTAGGAAGAAAAATGATATTGGTACTTACACGAGAATTTATTATACCTATTTTATAAAATATACAATAAAATTAATGAAGTAACGTCGGTGGTTATATAGTTTTGGCAACCCTATGATACAGAGTGTAACATTTCCTATCTAGCTCATTTACTTGGTGAAAAACTAGTGGTCAAATACTTGAATGAATATTGAGTAATTTTGAAATATTAGCGACGCGAATTGACAATCGAAATTGGCTGGGGTCACACTGCAAGCGTGAAATGTAATAGCGGTAGTCATTTAAATTGTATGAATTTTCTTGTCTTTTCTAGATGTGGTTTAATTATTGAAGGTTCTTTTAGAAGAAAAAATCGCAACATCTGCTATATCAAGAAAAATTAAGAGCTACCCTACAAGACAAAAAGTAAAAAAATCCTTAGATATCGGGTTTCTAGACGGTATGAAGTGAAGCGGTCACAAGTAACTTATAAAATTTAAAATACCGTAACAAATCGGTTTTCAAAAAATCTATTGAGCATAACTCAACTTAAGGTATACCTAAATAGCAAAGCCATCACACTTCATCAGTACCTTCTGAATTATACCACTCCAAAAACCGCTGACAAAGAGACCGTAGCCTCACATTCCTTGACCGACGACCCACTTGTATGACAAAAGAAGGAAGCGGGCAGTTGTCGTCAACTGTCAACCATTGTTAAAACACCCTGTGTGTAACAACGGATGGGTGTCGTAACCATGGCAACCATTAGTTAGTTATGCTCTATGACTTGGATAAGATACTGCTATTAAGTAATTTTTATGATGAAGGTCGGTCTTGATTGTTTATGGAAATGCTTAGATGTGTCATACTCATAGGGCTTTATGTACCCTTTTGTCTACAAAAGCAAAAGATTGAATATAATAGTACTGATATATTTACAACTCGGCGTTGCCGGCCAAGCAACAATAAGGCACCGCGGTCTAGGCCCCGAGTAGGAGCGCGGAGGTGCAGTTTTTGGACATCATAACATTCAGTACAAAAATAAATATTTATAAATATATCTGAAACAGATTTTGAATACTTATCGTCTTTTTATAGGAATTACACACATTTGTAAAAGATCATGTTGTATTCGTTTTTGAAACAATTTTCACTTCCTTATAATTTTCAATTGAATATTTCCAATCAACCAATTAACAAAAATGAATTACTCACTCTACAATCTTAGTATTGACGTAACGATGACGTCACACGCCTTGAGCATCGATCCGCGCATCGTTATTAAGATAACTAAAGTACTTCAATGTGCATTGTTTCATATTAAAATGTTATTTTATTATGTTTCAATTAAGTTAAATCAGTATTTTATTGCGCAGTGACTTTTGCATCTTTGTTGTAAGGGATGGTTCCTGGCGATACCAAGTATCTTGTTAATCGCTTCATTACATCATCTTAGGATGTGTTTTTATGGCATATGTCGGAAAACTAGTAGATTATCTGATGGTAAGCAATCGTCGTCCATGGACTCTTGTAATATAAAAGGAGTTACTACAAGTGCATTGCCGGCCTTTTGTGGGATGTTAGGGATTTTAGGATAAGTTATTTGAGGATTAAGGGTTTAGGGGGAAGGATTAGGCCTCCGGTACCCTCATCCGCTTAGAGAAACACAACGTAAGTGTTTCTCCAAGCTGGTACTCTTTGTGAGGCCGTGGTGACAATTCGGCCAAGCCGGGCTGTTCGAGCGAAGGCTTTGCTACACTTATCTATGAATACAACGGTACCTTCAGTACTAGAGAGCACTTAGCTTCACTGACGAACAGACTAACATTCTATTTTGACGTTTCAAAAGTACCTATTTATGGTTTAGTTGGACAAAATGATTTTGATTTGATTCGATTTGATTTGACTAACTAATAAGCATTACCCAAAAACAATGAAACTGATAATTATATTTGTCCTGGGTTCGAAAATCAATAATGAGGTCGAAGGTTTTCTTCTTAAATCAGAAGATTTCAGTGAATACAACAGGTCCGGTTTGTATTATTAATGCAAGAGACATAAAAACGTAAGCCCTAAAGACACAAAAAAAACTGCAAGAGTGGGAGAAGTCCAGGGACCAAGTTCCATGAGAATTACTAAAACCGCACTTAGAACCACTGGATCAAAGAGACGACTCCAAAAACTGAAGAACAAAAACGTCTGTACCTATAGATCTAAGGATTTCATATCCATTGTCTTCTAAAACAAAATTAATCGATGTTACATCAGATCGATATCTCGATGATTGTACAAATCGATTCCTTAATCGATACTAGAGGTCGTATTAGTCACTATGAGTAAACAACGCTGTGTATCTATGTACATACATATGTTAGTTTGTTTGTATATATATATAGTCATTGTTTTGAAATTCTCTACTCTTGTGTTAATTTATAAACATCCATCTGTTAATAAAGTATAACTAAAAATAACTAAAAAAGATTTTATAATCAGAATGACTGCTTCGGTATTCTGTTGATACCGGAGGACCAATCACCAGGAAGATTTGGATTATTTCCCCAATTCCCATAATCCCTCATTCTTTTCAAACTATGTGTGACGACGACCGAAGTGATACCACGGCCTCACGTAAAACCGGCGTGGAACAAACACAGCGTTGTGTTCCGCCGTCTGAGTGAGGTTATTAAAGGCCAAATGCTTCCCCTTCCCCAATCCCTCCCCAGTCCCTTTATCTCCAAATCCCTAAACCCCAAAAAAGTCGGCAACGCACTCGTAACTCCGCCATTGTGGATGTCCATGGGCGGTGCTTACCATCAGGTAGTCCAGATCAGTCAAAAAGTCAAAGTCAAAAATCATTTATTTCAATTAGACCACAGTAGGCACTTTTGAACGTCAAGCAAGCAAAAAAAGAAAAAAGTATATAATATGAGCTTTAAAATTAAGCGTGTCAGTCTGTCCGTCTGTCCTCTAGTGAAGCTATTTGCTCGTTCCAAAGTGTAGATTCCTATGGAGAAGAACGAGCAAGAAACTCCATGGTTACTCTTTTTCAATCAGTTTTACAATACATTTCTTTGTTACATAATTTAGTCGGTTCTGACATGTGAGAACAATGTAACACTAATGTTCAGGCAAAAAGTACGAAAAAGAAGTGAACCTCAAGGACAACATATTTAGACAGCCTGGAGATGACCAGTCCCAATTGGCGGCGCCCGTTCACGAACATGACACGTACACCAGCACCGCCCAACTCAACCATATTATAGGGAATTGGGCGATCCAGTGCCCGTGCCACCGCCAATGAGACCTCTGAGTGAGCATGACAGCTCCCAGCCGACACAAGTACCTATATTCTACAAGTCTTACTTAATTATAATAGGTTACAGGGTACTCACATTTACAAAAACTTAGAAGTTCATCAAAAATTAACAACATTGTGTATAATTTAATAATTAAAATCAAAAATTCCTCTAAACATCCTGTGGAGTAGGACCAGCTAGCCTCCAAGCATTTTTATCTTGTATATAATCATTTAGTTTGTAGTATGCTAGTTTACATAAATGTTTCTTTATACATAATTTAAATTTGCTTTCATTTAGATTTTGAATTTCAACTGGGATTTTATTATAACATTTAACACAGAAACCCTGAAATGACTTATGCACTTTTGCCAATCTAAATAAAGGCTGACTCAATCTATTCCTATGTCTAGTATGATAATCATGTTTGTCAGATACCTTTACAAATAAGTGTAGGTTCTTCCTAACATACATAATGTTTTCATAAATAAATTGACTCGGTACGGTCAGAATGTTGATCTCCTTAAACTTTTCTCTGAGAGATTCAGAATCAGGTAATCCTTCAAATCCTTAATGCATAAAAGACCGGCAACGATCTTTTAACTCATCGATATTACAAGTGTCCATGGGTGACTCCGATTGCTTATTATCAGGTGGTCCTTCAGCTTTAGCGTTTTTGGAGGTTTAGAGAAGGTTTGGGCCTCCGGTAACCTCACTCACGCGGTGAAACACAACGCTGTGGCTGTTTCTCGCCTATTTCCGGTGAGGCCGCTGTATCACTTCGATCGAGCCGGCCCATTTGTGCGGAAAAATTCGTGCTACTTTGTAGCAACTGAAATTTTGTCTCGACCTTTAAAAGAAACGATACGAGTTTTTTAACTGAAGTTTATAATATGTATTTTTCCCTTTAAACTAATAGTAGGTAAGTATATTTCATAACGTTTTTAATATTATCTCATAAAGTAACATGAGTAATCCTTTCTTAGCGTGTCTCATGAACATTACAACCTGCGGTCGACTCGCACTGTACACTAATGATGTGCCCCGCCCCCGTCCGTCAACTTGGGCAACTTACTTGCCTCGGACACTTACAACTTAATACGTACAACTGTCACTTTGGTGTCTTTGGTACTTATTAGTGGATTGCTGATTTATTAAGTGGAAGGCTTTTTAGGGTTACCCATTTTGTGTTAATTTTTTTTTAATGGGTGACGTGGTGGCCATTAGCTTATCATACTCTTTCAATATACAGCTCCTACAATTTTCGAATCTATTCCGAAATTTCAGTCCTTTTCCGTTGAAATAAAAATACAAAACCTATCTCTTATGAAATCTGGATTAAACCAAACACAAAACGTAAATAACTAGACTAGACATCTAAAACCAATCGTATTAAACAAAAACTAACCTTCTAAAAGTGCGCAGGAGTCACATATCCTTTCTCTTTTCAACACATATTTCTATCCTACTCTAACGCGAACTAATTGGGTTATAAGTAAGTACATTAAAAGCCAAATCACCTGCCTACCAAGTAATATGTACTAAATGTAAAAAAAAACGTAAATATGAACGGCTAGCGAAGGTTGCGCACGCGCGTGGGCGGCCATTGTGGGCGGGCACTTGATACAGTTTTACTTCGAAGTAGGGTAACTGTGTATTGTGATTAGATTAGGACTTATTTGTTGTAAGTAGTTGTTGTAGATTTTCTTGTGAAAGTAGGCCTGTTTAGCTATGTAAATATTATAGCGCAATTATACCTAAATAAGTTTCACTCCTCACTCGTAAAGCTTTTTCTTTGCATTTAATGGGTAACTAAAATAGCATAATAGTGACACATGCTACACTAAGCTATTTGTTTTCTTTGATTAATTTCCAACCTTATTCTTTTGTAATAAAGTCGAAGCCAATATTGATCCATTGACATACCTCGACGTCATTTGTTTTATAAAAAGCTCAAGAGAAGTGTGGGAGAGTCATGCTTCGGTACGAATGGGTCGGCTCGACCGGAGTGATACCACGGCCTCACAGAAAACCGGCGTAAACAACCACGGCGTTCTGTTTCGCCGTGTGAGTGAGGTTACCGGAGGCCCAATCGATCTCCAAAAAGTCAGCACCGCACTCGTCACTCCTTTCAGGTAATCAGTCTGCTCATTTGGCGATCTATCCCATAAAAAAATTAAAAAATTGTTCCGATTTTAAAAATAAAACCACAGTCACATTACATCAACCACGGCGCCTGTTCCTAACGCTCATTATCACATATAAATGGATATCTAATAACAACATTAACATTACCAAGTAACTGAGTGACAGTACGGACCACTTACTGTAACTTTATTCCAAACTGTTATTTAGAAGTAGCTGTTTAAACGTTGCAAACAAGTTATTTTGGCTAATGAACGATATAAAATGGTAACTTAGGAGTGCATATTGCATTTAATTTTGTTCTGGTTTGTGCCATGCAAGTATTTTGGTAGAATATTTTAATATACCTACTATAAATACTAACGACACGCCCAGACTTCACGGGGATGCAATGCTGTAATAATTTTTTCCACTATTTAATGGATATTATTTACGAACGTTCCTCTTCAATCACTCTGTCTATAAAAAAATGCTGCATGAAAATATGTTGCGTAGTTTTAAAGATTTAAGCATATATAGGGATATAAAAACTGAGAAACCGACTTTATTTTATACTATGTAGTGACAATAATTGACCAAGGGTAGCCCAAAAAAGGGGCAGGCATAGTTGTTGACACAAATTTCAGGCTCTTTGTCTATTTAAAAAAAAAGTATTGAATACCGGGTTTTCGACTTTTGCCCCAATAGTTAGTATAGCTACTACGACTTTGGTCTAGGGATTAAACGTTATCGTTACTGAGCAAATGCTCTTCAGACTTCGTGATAAATGAGGCACACACGGCTAGTCCAAAATTAATACGAAATGAAACCTCTAATTGACATATAAACAACTTCCAACACACTAATGAATCTATAAAACACTAATTAATCAATGAAAACGTAACCAATAAAATAAACGAGCTAATTTCCTATTTCTAAAATAATACTCAAATAAAATCGAAAGTAAACGCATCGAGTACAATTGTGAACAGAAGTCTTAGACTTTCTACCCGTTTGAACATCTTGTCGCGTGAGTACTGTCACGCACAGCGATGAATTCTACTAATCGATTTGTAAGTATAACATGAGATTACTTAATTACTCGATCTTGCGTTAATCGATTACATTTATAATCGATTTCGTTCATGTATAAATTAATAATGGCGCCTATGATTTGCTCATGTTGGTATAAAATTTACTCGATTCAATGTAATGTGTTGCCAATTATTCATTGACTGTTAAGGTCACGTGTGAGAGGAAAAATTAAGAAATTCTAATTGATAGATTATTAAAGTATGTCGTAATTAATTTAGCAGTCGTCAACTGTCATATTAATAAATTGGTCGCAAATCTTTGAGACATTATATTGTATTTATATAAATTGCATCTAAAAAATATTGCTATATAAATCACTACATACTTGCTTTCTCTGTCCCTTTATCCCTATGTGTACTATGCTTAAATATTTAAAATTACACAACTGATTTTGATGCGGTTTTTTAAGTAGAGAGTGATTCAAGAGGAAGGTTTGTATGTGTAATTACATCCATTAAACCTTTCAATCGTGAAAATTCGAGACACAATGGAAGAACTACACGCACAAACGCCGAACACTATTTAATTCAGCAAAAAAAAATTTTTTTTTCCACGATTGAAAGGTTTAATGGATGTAATTACACATATAAACCTTCCTCTTTAATCACTCTCTACTTAAAAAACTGCATCAAAATGAGTTGTGTAGTTTTAAATATTTAAGCATAGTACACATAGGGATAACGGGACGCCGGCGTTCGCTTGGGGTTTAGTGACTTAAATAGTGGAGAATTGCCAATGCACCGGTATGGAGCCGGAGCGGGTCGCACAATTTCCCAACTTAATCTTGAAAGTAAGTACATATCTACATTTGCTCACCCTAAAAAACTTAATAGATTATTCCACCTAACTTTCTAAGTACAATTAAAACTAACAAGACACATAACATCATGTAAAAAGATTTACAATTACAACAAGCGAAAGTGTCGATGAATTATCCAATTGCATTGAATCGATACTAACATCGATTCGACTCAGCTCGTTATAATCGATAATCGCTAATCGAGATTTTTGTCCGTCGGCCATGAAAGTCGCTTCAGGCGTTCCATTCGATTTTTAATCGTTTAAAATATTTTCCCGCGCTTATACGTTATGTAAGGTGTTGGATTGAATAAAAATCGTGTGAATTCTGTCCGTGAGTGTATGTACTTACTTTGTATGTACATTGTTTGTTACAAACATAGTACATATAAATTAACAATTAATTTCACTTTCTTGGAAAAACTCATGTAGTTCTTTATCTCAGACATTATTACAAGCCTGTTCTTGAAATTGATATAAGAAAGAAAAGTATCATAAAAATTATAAAAAAAAATTAACCTAATTTAAACCTAACTAAGCTAATAATAAGCACTAACAAAGTTGGAATACAACATAATTTATAATAGTAGTCAGAAATTATTTACAGCTCAACTAATAAATGACTATATAAAACCAGTATGTCACTGTATTTCTCCGTAACTGCTGAACAATTTCGGAGGAATCGAACAGGAAAGTTAGTTTAGGTTATTTCGAAATAAATATTTGGCTTAAGGATCACGGCTTTCTACGAATTTTGATCACGAAATTAAGTAGGTAATAAAATTGCAACATTAGTCTAATTAGTATAAACGCAAATATTAAAAGTGTAAAGAATTGTCAATGATAGAAATAATATTTTATTTTTAATGAAAAAAATATTTTTGTACTTTTCAAAGTGTTTTATGCAGACTTTTTTCAGTATTTCACCATGTTAACTGCACCAGGAGATATCGTAAGAAATACAGAGTGGTTTAAATTTCTGACAAAA